AAACATTGATCTGTAAAGCTGTCTTCACAAGATTTACGGGATGTGATTGTGAAAAGCAGACTGCAGATGACTCTCTGGTCTTGCCCAAAAGTTAACACCAACAAAAACCCCAACCTGTACAGTCATCTCAGCTACTCAGTGATGCCACTGCTATAATGCAAAAACCAAATTACCTGCTGGGGGAAATCCCATATTGACAAACCTAAGTGGAGGTATTTTATTGGCTTTATTCTGAGGGTTTATATGAAAACCCAGGCAGGATTATGCTGATCCTCCACTTGTTTGTTTAAACCATAGAAGTATTTCCTAAGAGCTACAAACAATGGTTTAACACAGCGAGCTGCAAACAAGTTTAGATCTACCCAGTAAGAAGTGCTATTGCCTAGACTCTATAGAATACAACTATTTAACATATAGCTACTTAAGAGCTTTGCATTTTTGATTTCTATTTTTGAGAATCTATAATATCTTGACACATATCTTAATATATTTAAACACAGAAATAAATGATCTATCTGGAAAAAAAAAAAGCCCACTGTAGCTAATAAAGGAGACATTGAAATAAAAACCCCAAAGAACAATATCATGTTTTCCAGCAGGTCACACAGATTACGAACAATTTATCATTCAATCTTCTAAACTAATGAAACACCAACATAAAAAACATCAGTAATTTAAATTTTAGAAAGAGAAAGGTAGTAGTTGTGTTTGAAATCTGGAGACTTGAACAAAAATTATTAGATCTGTGCAAAAGCAATCAAGTGCAGAAGGTGACGGGATTCTTGGCCAAAAACATTGCCTCTCCCTGCCCAATATTCTCCTTGAGAAAACCAACCAGCATCCTAAAGATTGGACTTTTATGTATCCACGGAAAAGCATAACAGAGTGACTGCTACATGCCTGACGTTTGGTATTTCAAATACCATTTATTTAAGTAAATTGCTTTCATTTAAACTGCCATGTGTAGCATGGTAGAGTTCAATGCTGTACTACCAAAAAAACTCAACAAGAGACTTCAACAATTCTGCTGGCTTTCTGAAAAGCTCCTGCAATCTGCAAAATAAAAGGCCAAGCTTGCAGCTAAAGAAGAGATTTTAAACAATTACCAAAGCAGGATAGTGATATCATAAAGGCAATTTCTGCGCTAGCTTGTTTTCTGAAACTCTCTTTGCCTCTGAACAGCTAGAACAGATAATAACTATTAGTAAATCAAACTCCTGCAATATCCAGCTGTGTCTCACACATTTACATACAGATAGAATGGGTATATGTTTTTAATATGTATGCGATACGTACTTTTACCACAGCTGAAGTGCATGCTACAAAGGAGGAGGAGAATGGGAATGGAATCAGCATGAAATAATAAAGTGGCCTAGATAAAGTATTAGCCAGCGATTGATCTCAAACAGGGGATGTTGCTTCTCTCTGACCTGATTACTTACTATGCATAGATTCCATTAAATAGAGCTTAGAATGGAAAGCTGCTGAAAAATACCGTAAATACAGTCAGATCCACAGCTTCATGAGCCAAACCAGCCCGCAGATGCCTACCCGTACACTCTGCACGAGCAGGAGTTTAAACCTCACCTCTACATCCCAATTGCTAAATATACACGTATGTCTGCATTTCCCTGGGAGCCAGGCTTGTGATACCAGGAAACACTGTGGTTTAGATGAAAACTGGAAGTTCAAGGGGGGAAAAAATAAAATATACAGAAGAATTGTTGAGATTTTCTTTGTTGGAAGAAGAGAGAAGAGAGATAGAGGAATGTGCTAAGATGTTGTGCAGTCTTCCCTGGTGCTGAAACAGGCGTATGTCCAATTTAATTGACTGTATGCCTTCCTTTTCTTAAGAGGGAACAAACTGGAGACAAAAGAGCAGACACTGTAAGCACAAGGGTCAGAATAACCACTGGTGAATTATAAAGATCGTTCCTTTCCCTGGATGGACAATTTTCCCCATTGCTTGTTGAAATTATTTTGGTTTTGCTCCTGTGGAACCAGTCTATTCATCAGAAATACTTGAAAACAATTAAATAATTGATTATTACTAATTAATAACTGATGTTCTATCTTGTTTTGTGGATGGGTATATGGAAGAAAGGGCATAGTGACCGACTGAATACAGGAACCTGATTTATGCCAGCTATTAAGGGAATTTGGTGTTCACTCGCACAGGAGTATCTATGGTAATAGAAACCTGACTTTATGCAGGAATTTCATACAGCCTTGGCTTTAGCCCTATTTTCTGACAAAATGTGCTGCAACTTCCATAAAGAAAAAAAGGGCTTCCTAACATGATAGGGTAAATCCATCCCTGCTGTAACCCCACGACTTCACTGGAGTTGCCAATCTGGCACTCCAGGTATTGTGAGTCGGCTCTTAAAATGCATTTAACAGTTCACAGAGTATCAGGAGAGTAGAAAAAGATTGATGTTCTGTTCCCTTCATTTTGCTTTCAGTCTTTAATTATACTAAATTGGTTACAAAATAGTTACTTCCAGGATGGGTAATGTCCACAGGGGGGAAAGCCTGTGCTCCACTGTTTTGTCAGAAGCTAACAATGATTATGGGTTACACCTTTCACCCTTGCTAGTACATTTCTTCTACATAAAAAAATTCCCTAAAACCCAATGAACAAGGTGAAATCCTGCTCTCGTTTAAATCAAGAGTAAACTGACCTTGATGAGGATTTCACTGACGGTACCTGCATCACTCTATCCACTCCTATAGTTAGAAGAGAGATGCTATGAATGACACCAGAGGTTTCAGAAACGGATGACATGGAATTAAAAGGATTCTAATTGTGGTGAGCAATTCTACATTTCAGAGGGTATTTAGTAGCTTTTGTTCTGGCCCTGTTTTCCAATAAAGTACGGTAAATTATATATATATATATATATGTACAGATATGCTGTCTGTATATAGACATATGCTAATTTATAAAACTCATATGCATATATACATGAAGTGCTCCTTGACAAGAGTGGGTAAGTGTAAGAAGGCAAAGGGCTTGACTGGAGAGCAACTGCTTGAGCTAACAGCGAGTGTAACAGCAAAGCACAGGGTGCTCTGAGCCCATCAGGAGGGAATTTAGGGCAGCGTATGAGGGCCAGCCACATTCCAGGCAAGGACTGGGTCACTTCTTCATTTCAGCAGTGCTCTATCTCATGCTTTAATACTTGTAGTTGCAAGTTCATTTATAATTGAATAGAAAGTAGCACGAGGGGGAAAATGCATTAAACAAAAGATTTTGTTTAAAAAGTAGGAAGGGATTTTTTGCCCTCCCCCCCAAGCTGCTACAAATTCAAAATTATTTTACAAAATACCTCCTTTAAAGGGGACTAGCACACTCCAGGGCATGTAGTTGTAAAGATAAATCTGTGCACTTCCCTGGTACTGCAGGCACTCACCCTTTGGCCTCATGTTTATGACTCTACACCCTGGAGTGGTGTTATTGCTTACAAACATACATATATACTTATGGGGGTATGTGCGATCTGCAGATGTTTTATTTATAAGTGGCAGGCCTCTTGCATCACTGAAACAGGCATTTACAAACAGATATAGGTTTTATGAAACCCTATTCCGTTGTTTTAATAGCTAAGCTATCCAGCCATAGCATAATAGTGCACAAGGTAAATGTGTCTACATCTCTAGAACCTGTTCCAAGTTTTCTCAGATGTGACTAACTGCAAGAATTTCCCAACCATCAAAAGTTAATAAAAAAGACAAAATAAGGCAGTGGGAGCCTTTCGTATGACACACACACCATCACCAAGTGGAGGGGCTCTGATAAACTTTAAGGCCTCATTTTACTGAGGTATTTAAGTGGTGCCTAACTTCAAATGTAGATCTACTGAAGTTAATATCCTTAAAATGAGATTCACAGTTAAATACTTTACTAACCAGGATCTAAATTGAGACTAGTCTGGGTTGTGAGATACCTGCTCCAGGGCATCTTCAGAGATTAGCCTTTAACTAGAGAATAGCTGCAATAGAAACACTTGTTTACTCTATATGCAGTTTGCAGCATGTAAACAGGAAATGAGATGATGCCAACGTGTCCTTCTCTTGTTAAAACCTGTTAAATTATTCCTAGATATTTAACGCACAGAAATTCTGATGATTTTACATAAGCCTCCAAGTTGCAGGAAAGGCAGAGTATAAGGAAAAGTAACTAAATATTTAAAATCAAAGATATTTGATGGGAGTCAGAGGGGCCCACAACTCGTACCTGCAATATAAGTTACTGTAAATATTTTGTTTGATATAGTATTTTTGTAGCTGCTTAAAACCAATCAAAACAGCACTCTGCACTAAATGCGCAGCCACAAGGGACCAGCCGGAGAGCGTGTGCCCTATTATTGCTTTACTGAAAGAAAAAAAGACAATGGCAAGCCAAAGAAGTGGTCTCTGAGCTCAGATTCCACCACCGAGAGCCCTTCTACCAACAGACCAAAGCTACTTATTAACCCAATCTTCTGCAGCCGATCTGATTTCATTTTACATGAATGTAAGTGAAAACAGTGGCTCCTGCATTTCATTAGAAAAAGAAAGACTACTTTGACCATATCCTCTGTTTTCAATCTTCTGATTTTGAAAGGTTAAGACTGGCAAATGATGACAAAGACTGACCTACATTAAGCTGTAGTCCCTGGACATACAAACTGAAAAAACCTGGTGTATTAAGCATCAAAATGGTTTTGACTGAACCTTGACACTGGCTGTGAAAGTTCTCTATTAACTCCCCACATCACAAGTGAAGCTTTGGCCACAACAAAGATAACAGCAAGATACTCATCAATGGAATCATCATCATTTCACCTCTGGTTTGTGTGTTCCCTGTAAGTATGTAATTACTGCACAAGCCAAGAAGAGTTTCGATCTAAATTTGTAAATGAAGAAAAATGCAGAGAAGAACAGACACACTTCTCTATACATGAATAAAGAGTATTCACAGACAAACACATATTGAGGGGCTCTGAAGTTTCACTTACCATTAAATCTTCAGGTGCTGGCCTTTCCTTTGGTTGCTTTTTCATGCTGTGTGTATAAAACAAAATGTTTATATATAAACCACCACTCATTTATTCTACTTGCTTAAATATTGAAGATCTCCTCTTTTAACACAGAGTGAAGAATTTCCATGTATTTCTTAACCTCATCACGTGCCAACAGAACACAGGGGTCCTAACAGTGGCCAAAATGTTAATGGATTTGTTCATTCCCTTCCATCCCTCCCTTAAGGGATGTAGTGATCTACACTGTTTGTGACCATGAAAGTGTGTAAATATAGAGATCATTGAAAAGCAGTCAGCTTAGAAGGCACAGTAAACTGATTCTCATTTTGCCAGGGATTATTACATAGCTCAATGCCAAGTATTACACAAACAGGTGGGAAATTTAACTCTTAACACTAAACAGCTTCAGGAGCATGCACAATACCCTGGGGTTTCTACCTTAATTTTTTCACATTTATTTCCATTACACTGCAGGGTGATAGTTCATTACACAGCATTAACCTGTTTATAAGATCATGTTTCTCATCCAAATAGTCCTAGTTTTCTGTGCAACAGGTGCAATTAGCTATTGAAGGCTGTGCTTAGCTGCATGAAGGAACACAATAACGTGGCACAGAGGTGACCATCAGGAGCTGCCTACTGACTAATTGGATTACATCCAAACAGCCAGTCTTTATGGCATAACCAGCATAAAGTCTGATACACCGTTCACTTGACATCTCTAATACGTATCCAGAATTGATTGCTTAAATATAGTTTCCTCTTATTCACTTTATTTTTAAACAGTAATGCCTCCCATTAAAAAATACAGCCAATATAACAGTGCATCTAAAATCTGTACTGTACATTGGAGGATTAACAGCACAATTTACCTCCCCTTCAAACAACTAGAAGCCCCTCAAATAATGCAGCATTAGCAAATAACACGAGCTGTCTGACGAGTAGGTTGGGAGCAGTTCTAATCTGACAGTCCAAAGTAGCTGCGTCCCCAGGGAAAACAAGGCTATTAGCCACCATCAGTTATGCTTCAGTTTGACATCTGTGGAAATTTTAACATAGGTTATCCCTCCCTCTGCCTCACTGAGAATGGGGTTGGGGTTTTTTTGAGAACAGTCTGTCATCAATTTGTTTTGCAAGGATAAAAAGCACAGACCTCCACATCGCACACACCAGTTAGCTGTGCTGCAGAACCCTGCAAATCGTGTTGCTCTTTGTAAACTGAAACTATTGAAAACGGAGGCCTATGTTACATGAAGTTTAATTATTTAGTTGCTTTAATTAACCGATCATCAGACTGCTTTTTGTGCCTGTATTGTTACCCACTACATCAGTCCTGAGAGGTACTTTCTATGTTATATATTCAAAATTCAATGTTATTAGGCGACTTTTGCCACCGTGGCTCTGGCACAGAGAACCTAGAAGTGCCTCAAAGCCTGACCTATAGTTCTACACAGGGCCGAGGGCTATGAGGACACATCCCTGCAGCAGGATTCCCTCTCATCCACAGGGCTGCAGCTCCCAGCGTGACACACTGAGATGGCTCCATCTGATTTAGCGCAGCTGAGCATCCAGCCCTGGAAGCTCGTGTTTGCAGAAGGGATGCTTCTCCATCTAACACGTCGTATTTTTGAAGAATTCAAGCTTGTTTTTTCTGCCACACACAAATGTCTGCTCCCCTCTCACTCCCCCTTTTTTGAGGGGTTTTGGGGTAGCGGGGGGATGCAATAGTTAAGAAAGGATTTTCCCTTCACTTTGTTTCTTTAGCATAGCTCACCCTCAAAATTTATATTCTTTGGTCACTCAACAACCGTATTTGTTATTCCACAAATTCCTCCTCTCCCCAGTCCTCCTTTAATTCAAAAGGTTTTCAATGAACTCTTCAGTTTTAAGCAAAGAAAATATACCCAGTGGTGTGTTTTAAAATACAACTCTCTGTAAGAATTACTTACTGGAAAGCTAACGCGTTCTTGGAGGCTGCTCATCTTTCTAAATATGGAGGCAATTTTATATTTTTAAAAGCCCTGAATAATGATATTATAGACGTGAGTCTTTGTGGCTTTCTTACCCCCGGATGAATCCTTCCGAGTCTCGGCGCACAAGACTGCACCCACATTGAGGGCGGGTTTATTAAAACAGGAAAAAACCCCTTGTAAGTACTTTTACGACCCTTTGTGTAAATAACGTTTACATAATTTAAACAGTTTGCTTAGCTTTGCTGCCCCATCTGCCCAAGGCCCCCAAGTCCCTCTCCTCTCAGAAAGGATGCAAGGAAAGCCATAAGGTCTCGCAGAGCTGCGGAGTTAATGGCATGTATCATTTACATTGAGGGCATGGCATGTTTGCAAACTGAGCTTACCATTGAGTGATGAAGTGTACAAATGGCTCAGAGAACTCCCCGGCTGGAAGGACGGGTGATTCCTGCGATTGGATTGAAACAAGAAGCAGAGTCAGAAGGAGAGAAGATAATTTTTTTAGGAGAGTAATATAACGGTGACAACAAAACCAAAAAAGAAAGGGAAAATAAACCCCCCAAGGAAGCGACGAAGCCCCCTTTTCACACAGAGAATATGAGGCAGAAAGGTACAAATTCTTCTGAGAATGTGTTATAAAACACTGAATTTCAACTAATGAGTATTACACAATGGGTAAAAACATGTGGAAAGACACTGAGGGGAGGTGAAAAAAGGACAATGATAGCCACAGGGTAAAAAGGAAGGGAGGGAAAGTGTAAATGAGAAATTAATGATTATTTAAGTAACACACAAATGGTCTTGTAATTAACAAAGAGCTGTGAAATTATTCTTGTGTTGACCTTTGTTTCTTTCACTGCATTCGCTATTTATTTACACTCATGTTTATTTACACTTATTCATTTTAGAGGCTGTCCTCATATGCTGTCTGGGCTAGATTTAAAAGGTGACAGAATTTTTAAGAAGGGGAAAATCCCCAAAAGCAGGACTTGCCAGCGTAGGGGCAGAAAATAACTCCCTGGTATTTATAAAAGAACAACAGAAAAATAGATTAAGAGCACAAGAAAAAACAAAATTACAAACAGGGAACAAACAACATCACCATTTGCAAAGAAGGGCTTTACGAATTTAGGAGTTTTTCCAAGAATGACAGAGAGCTCCACTGTGTTTATAGTGTAACAGCTCAGGATGTAATGAAATTACACTGCAGAGTACTTTAACAGTGTCATCTCATTAGACCTACAGTTGGAACAAGAGAGCCACATAAAACAGGCAGCTGCAAATGACTCCATTCTCATCTATTCTCATTTGCTATTAAAAATACCTTTCGGCGTCTTTTTTCCTCTCTGACATCCCTACACAAAGTACCCTGCAAAGTATGATACATGCACCTATTTAAATTAACAAAGGAATGACTTATTTTAATCTCACTGTGCTTTGGAGTGCTTTGGCCATTTGGATGAGCAATATATCATTACATACAACCTTCCAGCGCTGCAGGCAAGAAACTCAGAGCGTGCAGCATTTGGTGGGAGCCAAACAATTTCTCTAGCACACAACTGTGTCAAATGCATGCATGTATTCATTATTGAGAATGCGAGGAAATAGCTTTGATGTAGTGGAAAAAAGAAGATGATAAAAGCACCTCTGCAATGTGTGTGCCATTATCAATGGTGGCAGATAGACACAACTGCAGAGCCTCCTATGTGATTAGTAAATATACATATAATTGCTGTGGCCAATTATCAGAAAAATGAGATCGGTAATTACAAGACAGAAAATTAACTAGAACTCTTATTAAGGCTTTGTTTCCAATTCAAACAATGGGAAACTGCTGGAAAATACAATTAAATCAAAAATAACTGAAGAGTAAAAGGAGAAGCCAAAATTGCTTTACAATTTTCAAAGACTTCTATTAAATACAAGGAGTGTTTGATAGAACATGCCCAAATCCTCTTTGAACTTCAGACCTGGTGAGAGAGAGGTTATTGTTTCTCAACTTATAAATGACATCAATATAGGAAGGTTTCCACTGGAGAGTGGAAGGAACACAAGGAAATAAGCACTGCAATTAAACTTTCTCCACTTCAAAGAACTGTGTATGGAAATTATTCACGTTAATGCAGTAAATGCAGAGCAAAATGTCAGGCTTGCTTTTACGGTGTGGAGCCATGCAGGTTTCACCTCTCCGCATCGTTCTCCCTTGTCCAGCAGAGCTGGGTTTGCACCTGAAGTGACAAAAGCCGCTTCTCCAGGTGGGATGGACTCCAAGAGAGCAGGTAGGAAATACTCTGGGCATAGATTACACATCATGTTGTGCAGCCAACAGAGCTCATTCCCCGGGGAACCGGCTCTGCCCAGCAACCCACCCCCACTGTTTATTTTAAGTAAAATGCAAGTGAGGAGCTCATCAGAGGCGTCCTGTGACGGGGCTGCCAGCTCGGCTCAGTCCATGCTGGGGAGCAGGACAGGCAGCCGGCGCTTCACACTCATTTGGGAGGTGATAATTTCTGCAATCACAAAGAGATGAGGAACCCATAATAGAGTGAAACTTCATTATGAGTGGAGAGGAGAAGCTGATGAACTGCTCTAAAGCCACCAGCTTGGCTCTCCCAGGCTAAGCTGGCATCAGGGTATGTGCAGCCAAGGGAAGAACTTGCTCCAGCGTCAGGATTAATGCCGTGACCACACAGCTCCCGTACTGCAGCACAGCCAGGAGATGATGTGCTCCTCCATAAGCACGCAAGAAAAAAATCACCTGGATGAAAGTAAATGTTAAATATTATATAATTTGCTTGGGAGGCCCACATTTTTCTGTACAATGCAGGTATGTCAACCCCATCCAGGCCTACTCTCTTCTGCTGTAGACCTGTGAGTCATGGCCATGCCCTGGCTGGTTTGCTCTCAGGAGCTCCAGAAGGGATTGTGTCTGAGTGGAGATGAACACAAACTGGATCTCAGTATGAAAACTATATGCTTTTATACAGTCTCCCAAGGATTTTAGACTGGGCGCTCACAAACTCATTGGCTATTTGCTTGAAAAATAGAAAGCCTTTGGGAGAGTGCATCCATCTCAAGGAATACTTGCTGGCAAGTGTTTTTGAGGGCAAAAAGATCAGGGGACATAAAAAACTTAAATCTCACTCCTGTAAATATGAGCCAGTTGTTACTTTAGAGCACATGTAAGATAGGGGAGAAGGAGGCAGGTTTGGGATTTAGCTGAACCAGAAAAGTACAGATCCTCAACTGCTTCCAGAGGTGAATACTGAAAAGCTGCATTTTACCTTAGTTGGAAAGACTAAACATCATTTGGTATTTGCCCAGGGAAACCAGTGATCAAAGTATTTCAATTTCTGATATTGTTCTATGCAAGATCATTTGAGTAGTAGAAAACTGAGAGTATTTTGTAGTTAAGAGCTATTTCTAACGAGAGAAAGTGCTGCTACTGCTACCTCTGTAATTTGAGCATCACAATGTTCTATCAGACATAAAGCCAAGATTTCCAAAACAACACTAAATAAATACACCCTACTTTGTACCCTTAAATTCCCTGGACTTCAGCTGGCACTCAAAGAGATGAAAATAGGAAGAAATAAAGCAAATATATGCATCTCTACCAAGCCTACACCACTTGTGTGATGCAATACACTCCCATTTGATGTAACTGTAGGGAACGGTCCAGCTGCACTCCAATGGCCTGCCTTATTTTACCCACCTGCACCATGAAATCACCCTATAGAGGCAAATAAAGAAGGAACCCAAGATTCTGAAGGAGTAAGGAACAGGTATACTCATTTTAAACCTGGGAAATGGTTCTTTCATTTTTGTTCAATGCCCTATCTTTTAACCAATATCATGAAGCCCTGTATACTGGGATGCTGCTAAAATGGCAGTAAAGACACAAATGGTTTTAAAGGTCAATGTACTGTTGGCCTCTTGCATCATCCCCAGCATACTCCCAAGACTAGCTATTTCTCTAAGCGTCCAAGCAATGTTTCCATCACTGGGATCTGCTGCAGGAGAAGACCAGAACAGGCTCTGATTTCTCAAAACCAGCTGAACTGTGCACACACGGTGAGAATGGGGAAGGGCAATAGGAAAAAAGTTTGAGTGATGCCTTTGCCTTGTGAATAATGAACAGTTCAAGAAGGTCAACCCATTACAACTGAAACCGTTTAATTATTAATTATGCACAATCTATGAGCAAAAGGACAAGTTCAGAATGTTTAATGTGTGGTAACTCCGACTGGACCCTCTCTTGGCATTTTGTTATTAGCACTTGTCAGCAAGGTGTTCAGGCATAAAGAAAAAAGCACAGCAGCAGAAAATCTGAGCTAGCAGGAGGAGGGAAGGCTTTAAACTTCAAACACTGCTCCTGATATTTAATTTATAGAGTGCCAAGGCTCTAGTTTAAACCTTATTGACTTCCATGGAGTTAGGGGAAGTCACATTATCTAAATGAAGACCTGAGAATGAGACTACTGAGGCAATCCCTCCAAAAGCCCTCTCTTTTGAAGGGGGTGATAACATTATTATCTGATTCTTCCTTTTTTTTCCTTCACAGATCTGAACAAAGGACGACTGAAGCATCTAATAGTGTGTCCAGAAGCCAACTAATCCTTTACAACCTATGCAATAAGAGCTTGAATTACAGGTCCGAGCATTCTCCTCACCTACTTCTCAACCCTGTTACTCAAAATGTCTCCCGATCTGTTTGCTCTCACTAGGAAGAGCCATAGCAGAGATACTACTGAAGCTCAGGAAATAAATAATGTCCAGCAAGTCCACAAATAAATATGGATAAGGGGCCTTTCCCCTCTTTTCTGTGCAGCTCTGAGGTTTACCTGGACAAATTCAAGAAGCAAATTCAACAAAATACAGCTCTGAACTGCTTTCTTTGGAAGCGTTCTTATGTCAATGAAATATGGGAGTAGTTCTTGACTGACAACGTACACCAAAAGCATCCCGCACTTGACATGCACCTTCAGAGGTCTTACCCCAACAGACAATTTCTTGAGCGTGAAATATTTTCTCGAAGCTACTTGAAGGCTGAGATTTATCACCACATCCTTTCTGAACAAAGGGAAAGCCACCATCTCCCTACAACAGGAAAATCAGCCAACACTGCTTTCTACCTAAAACCTTCAAGAAGGCAACAGCAAAGCCCCCAGCTATGTGTTAAAATCAAACCTGTGTTCGTCCTACAGAGGCTGGTATTCTCAGTAGATCCCACACTCGGTACAAATAGGTTTACACCCTCTCCTCATTTGCTGACTCCGTCTCTGTGAAGGGTTAAATTTTCCCATTCCCCACAGCTACTGCTATTTTGCAATACTTGCTCCTCAGTGAAACGCTTGTGCAGAAGGAAATGCCATGGTCCTATGGCTCTATGGCCACAAGAGGGAAGTTAGCAGAACCCAGCAACCAAACTTCAGTTCCTCTCTCCTC